ATTATCTAACTCCGCCTCGTAAGCTTTACCATTATGATGCCCTCCCCATCAATGCTCGTCCCCGTTATCGTCAAGCTCCTCCTCATCCTCCTCCTGCCCTCATCATCATCGCCATCACTGCCACCACAACCAGAAAAATGACCATCATCATCGCCATCGCCTGCGTGCGCGTCATCACCATCATCATCATGATCATCATTATCAATATCATCATCATTGTCAGCATTAGCATCACCACCATCATCATCAGCAGCACAACCAGCATCATCATCATCATCACCACAACCCCCATCATCAGCATTACCATCAGCACCATACTCATCATCATCAGCATAATCATCATCACCATCAACATCATCATCATAAGCATCATCAGCGTCATCCCTATCATCATCAGCGCCGCCACAAGTATCATCAGCAACGTATACTTATCATCGTCTCCATCCTCCTCACACTCATTTCCATCGTCGTCATCCAACCCACCTCTTCACCACAAAACAGCTCAACCGTGAATCATCCTCACTTCCACCACCATCACCGTCATCATCACAATCATGACCACCACCAGCAGAATAATCGACGTCATGATCATGATAATAACCCTGATCAGCATCGTCATCATCATCACCATCGTCGTCGTCGTCGGCGTCGTTCCGACGTTGTCGTCGCCGTCCTAGTCATACCATCACCACCATCATTAACGACATCCTCATCATCATCCCCATCCTCGCTTTAATTATCCAACTCCGCCCCGTCATCAGAATCACGTCCTTACTATCCAACTCCGCCTCGTCATCATTATCCCATCCGCCCCGTCATCATTATCTAACTCCGCCTCGTAAGCTTTACCATTATGATGCCCTCCCCATCAATGCTCGTCCCCGTTATCGTCAAGCTCCTCCTCATCCTCCTCCTGCCCTCATCATCGCCATCACTGCCACCACAACCAGAAAAATGACCATCATCATCGCCATCGCCTGCGTGCGCGTCATCACCATCATCATCATGATCATCATTATCAACATCATCATCATCATCATTGTCAGCATTAGCATCACCACCATCATCATCAGCAGCACAACCAGCATCAGCATCATCACCAGCATCATCGACAAAATCGCACCCTCACCAAAACCACCACAACCATCATCATCTTCATCTTCATCATCATCATCATCATCAACATCATCATCATCATCATCATCATCATCATCATCATCTGCATCGACATCATCATCGTCATCGTCCTCGTGAGCATCATCAGCAGCAGCATCATCATCACCACAATCATAATCGTAATCAGCATCAGCATCAGCAGCAGCACCTGCATCATCATCATCATCATCATCATCATCATCACCATCATCATCATCAGCATCATCATCAGCATCATCGTCAGCATCATCGTCAAAATCGTCGTCATCATGATGAGCATCAGCATCATCGTAATCGTCGCCATCACCATGATCATCATCGTCATCATCATCATCATCATCATAATCATCATCATCATCATCATCATCAGCCTCACAAGCACCATCATCGTCGACGAAGCCATCATGATCATCATCATCATCATCAGCATCATCATCATCAGCAACAGCAGCATCATCAGAAGCATCATGATCATCAGCAGCATCATCACATTCATCATCATCATCATCATCATCATCATCATCATCATCATCATCATCATTTACAGCAGCATCGTCAGAATTATCATCATGACAGGCATCGTCAGCATGAAAATCATCATCGGCATTATCATCTTTATCATCATCATGGTCAACGTCAGCATCGTCGTCATGATCAGCATCATCATCGCCATGATCATTGTCATCATTATCAGCATCCTCATCGACATCGTCATAATCGTCATCGACACCACCATCACCTCGATCATCATCGTCATCGCCCGCATCATCAGCAACGTCATCATCATCATCATCATCATCATCATCATCATCATCATCATCATCACAATCATCATCATACTCATAATCAGCCTCACGAACATGCTTATCATTAGCATCAGCATCATCACCATCATCAACATCTTCATCTCCAGCATAATCAGCATGTTTATGATCAGCAGCATAATCAGCATCATCAACAGCATGGTCATGATCATCGGCATCATCATCGTCGTCATCACCAGCAGTATCATCATCAGCCTCATCACCATCATCATCATCATCATCATCAGCATCGTCATCATCATCATCATCATCGCCATCGGCATCGTCGTGGTCGTCATGGTCATCAGCGTCATCATCAGAATCATGAGCATCAGTGTCATCACCACCACCAGTAGCGTCAGCATCCTCAGCTTCAGCATCAGTAGCATAATCGAGATGATCGTCATAATCAGCATCGTCATCATCATCATCTGCATCATCATCATCATGATCATCAGCTTGACCATCATCATCATTGTAATCATCATCAGCATCATCATCAGCAGCATCATCATTACCCTCAGCATCATCATGAACCTCATCATCCTCTTCGCCATCAGCATCCTCATCATCATCGTCAGCAGCATCAGTATCATCATCATCGTAAGCAGTATGATCATCGTCATCATCATCAGCAGCATCTGCATCATCATCACAATCGTCATCATCATTAGCATCATCATGATCGTCATCACCATCATCATCATCAGCATCATCATCACCAGCATCTGCATCATCGTCATCAGCATCGTCATGGTCACCGTCATCGTCGTCCTGGTCATCATCTCATCATCATCGACATCATCAGCACCATCAGTATCAGCATCATCAGATTCATCTTCATCATCAGCAGCAGCATCGTCATGAACATCATCATCCTCTTCGCCATCATCATCGTCGTCCTCGTCGTCGACGTCGTCAGCATCATCCTCATCACCATCATGATCATCACCAGCATCATCAGCATCGTCTTCATCATCATCATCAACATCGTCATCATCATCATCATCATCATCATCATCATCAGAATCATCATCATCGTCTCCAGCATCAGCATCACCATTATAATCATCATCCGCAGCATGATAATCATCATCATCCTCATCATCTGCATCATCAGCATCATCATCAGCATAATCATCATAACTTGCGTCGTCATCATCAGCAGCACCATCATCAGCATCATCATCAGTATCGTCTTCATGGTCATCGTCATTGTCATTGCCATTGTCATCAGCATTTTATCGTCAGCAGCATCTGCATCACAAGCATCATCACACTGTATACAATCACCATCTTGATCATCATCAGCATGATGATCATCACAATTAGCATCAGCATCATATTCGTCATCTTTAGCATCAGCATCATCATCGTCATCGTCATCATCATTAGCACCATCATCATCATGATCATCATAATCAACATCATCAGATTCATCTTCATCATCAGAAGTATCGGCATCATGATCATCGTCGTCAGCAGCAGCAGCGTCAGCATCATCATCATCATCATCATCGTCGTCGTCGTCATCATACAGTATCATCGTCGACATCAGCGTCGTCATCATCATCATCATCATCAGCATCATCAAGGCTCCCTGAGCCTCCTCGAGCCTCCACCTCCTCCTCCTCATCATCATCCTCCTCATCATATCTCCTCCTCATCTCCTCCTACTCCTCGGGCTGCATCTTCTTGGGCTCATCGACGGGCTCTTGGACAAAGCATCGGCATGGCCAGGGCCAAGGAGGCGTCGGTCCCCGCTGTCCGAGGCTCTTAGCAGCGGCACGTAGGCTGTGCTCTCAGGCGGTGGCCATGGAGGAGAAGGAGGAGGAGGAGGAGGAGGACTAGAGCCCAAGAAAACGCATCCCGAAGAGCCCCGAGTAACTTCCTGACCGGGCAGGCTCCCTCTCTCGACGCCCCCGAGCGTCGGCCGGAGTGGGAGCAGCAGACAGTCAGCACGCGTGAGAGGAGGAGGAGGAGGAGGAGGAGGAGGAGGAGGAGGAGGAGGAGGAGAAGGAGGAGGAGGAGGAGGAGGGAGGCAAGCAACGGAGGAGGAAGGCGGCGACAGGGGCCGATGGAGGATTGGTGTCCTCCGAGGCCACCCAGGACGCCAGAAAGCCACGAGTCCCCCTGCTGCAAGACCCCGTCCAGGGGGCTCGCCCAAGCCCCGAAACAGCTTCAGGACGCCCTCCCCTCCCCATCCTCTGTCCTCAACTGCCATCCTGTCCCATCTCCTTCCCCGCCCCACCTCCTCATCTTCCTCCTCCTCCTCCTCCCCAATTTTCCCCCTAAACCCCCCCTTCCACACCGTGTTCTCCCCCCCAATTCTCTCCACCTCCCCCCCCCCCCTTCCCATCATCCCCTCCCCCATTGCTGGCTCCACCAGCCCATCCCTCCCTCCATCCCAGCCCCGTCCCAGCCCCTCCCTTCACCTCCTCCCTGTTCTCGCATGTCCCCTCCCCCGGAAGCGAAGAACGACCAACGACGGAGGAGCACATGGACAATGAGGAGGTCGAGGGAGACGAGGCGGAAAGAAGGAACGAAGACGACGGCGACGTCGTCGACGCAGGCAACGATGACGACGACGACGACGACGACAACGACGACGACGACGACGACGACGACGACGAGGCCGAGGCCGAGGGCGAGGGCGCAGGCGACGACGACAGCAACGAGAAACACGCCCCTTCCCCTCGCCCACCCTCCAGGCGAGAACCGTCGAGGAGCGCCTTCGACGGCCGCGGGAGGCGCGCGCGCGCGCTGGCGCGGCCCGCGAAGGCGCGCGCCCTGGGGTGAGCGGAGTCGCCGCGGCACTGCCCCGCGCTCCTCGGGAGCGCGCTGCGCGCTGCCGCGGGCTCGGCGCGCCGCGCAGCGGCGGCCAGGGGCGCGCCTGGAGGAACAGACAGCGGCACAGCACGCCGAGCTGTCGGAGGTCCGCGCGGATCGCCCGAGTCGGCGCTGGACCCCGTGTGGTGAGGGGGCACGCCACGGAGGCGAAGGGCCTGAGGGTGCCCATCCAGAGCCTTCTACGCGAGCGGCTCACTGCCACAGGATGAGGCTCGCGTCGGAGCTCGTGCTCACGAGATACTTGCTACTCGTGGGCTCGAACGCGACGTCCTGCACCGAGTCCTCGTGGCCCTCCAGGTTGGCCACGAACGCGCGCTCCTCGATGTTGAACGTCTTCACGGAGGCGTCGCCCGAGGCGATCGCGAGCACCTGGCCGCTGCGGTCAAACGCGGCCGCGTTGGCGGGGTGCTGGCCCGTGTCTATCTGCAGGTACTCGGAGACCATGCGCACGTCCCAGAGCTTGACGATACCGTCAGAATCACACGAGGCGATGGTGTCGCCCTGCATGTTAAAGGCCGCCTGGTTGCACGCATTCGCGTGGCCATAGAACGTCTGGATGCAGAGGCCCGTGCGCAGGTCCCACATGGAGATTGTCTTGTCACCTGACGCCGTAAGCACGATGTTCGAGAACGGCTGGAAGGTGACGTAGTTCACCGAGTCGACGTGGCCGCGAAAGGTCTGTCTACATTTCATGGTGTTCATGTCAAAGGCTTTGGTGGTCTGGTCCATGGAAGACGTCACCAAGAAGTCCCCAAGGTCGTGGAACGCGCAAGCCCACACCGCTGAGGAGTGGTCTGTCATCGTGTGTTTGCACTTCTCCTTGGAGACGTCCCAGATCTTGACCTTGGCGTCGCCTGACGTCGTCGCCACAACAGAACCGCGCGGATGGAAAGCGATGCCGCTGACCCAGTCGGTGTGGCCCTCGCCACTGAGGACCAGCTGGCCGTCGGGCATCGACCACATCTTCCACGTGTGGTCGTCGCTGGCTGTGGCAACGACGGGGATCTTCGGGTGGAAGGCTATCCGCGAGATTGGGCCCAAATGGCCCTTGAAGGTCTGCACCTTCTTCATCTCCGACACCGAAATGGGATCGAAATTCGCGTTAGCGTACGGGTTGCTGCGGTCCTCGGGCGGCCATGCCGCCTTCTTCTCCCTCTTGGTGGCCTCGCCCTCGGGGCCCCGCGAGGCCTTTTCGTCGTCCTGGTCGGCAGCCTCCTGGTTGAGCTGCTTCTGCAGCGTCTCTGCCTTGCTCACGAATCGATCGCGCTCAAGTCTCATCAACATCTTCTCCTTCATTGCCACCTCGTACTTGTGCCGAAGCTCCGTGAGCGTGGGCTCGTACTGCTCATAATGCTTTTTCAACCTCTTCAGGTCAACGATGAGCTTGTTCTTCTCCTGCACCACGCGACGGTGGTGCATCCTTGGGGAAACCAAAAGGTACCCATACCGCTACCCCCAAGACCTCTCCCCGGGTGCGATCTGACCATAATTTCGAGGCGAATCCAGCGATGGCGACGAGGGCCTCCCAGGAGGCCCAAAAAGAGGCAAACGGCCGAAGGGTAGAGGTATGGGTACCTTTTTCCTCCCCTGAGTCCTGTGGAAGTCGCGCTCCTTGCGGAACTTGTCCCACGAGTCCTTGGCGGTCGCGGCCACCGCCCGCGCCTTCTCCACCTCCTGGCGCAGCATGGTCACCTCTTCGAGGAGGCCTCGGTTCTCCATGAAGCAGTCGGGCACGCTGGTCATCGCACCGTCCCGCAGCCTCCCGTTCTGCTGCAACTCGTACCTAGAGTTAGGTCGGGCATGTCCTCCTACAGGCGGATGTTGTAGGAAGCATAAAAAGATAGTCACCAAAATATGTCAAAATAGTCCAAGAATGACCTGATTCCGACCCCAGACATTTTTGGTCTACTCTTGAATATTCCTCGTGTAGAGGGACGTGCCCGACTTAAACGTAGAGGCCTCCCAACATGGAAGCAGACGGAACTCGGAGGATTGCATCGCCGAAGCAGCGGCGATGCGTCTGCGACGTCGGGATGGCGCAAGTCAAGCTCCAGGTCGCGCTGGAGCGCGAATGCATCAGCGATGCGGCAGCGCGATCCTCCGAGCCTATCTACTTGGACCAAATTTGGGAGACCTTGATAGAAGACGAAAAAACGCCGTAAACAGAAAGATCGAAGAAATCCGCACGGAGCGCCAAAATTTCATGTTTATGGCGTTTCTTCTTCTTCCTCTTCGACTTGAGAGTACCACTCCGTCTGAAACACCTCCAGGGAGCGCTGCATGCTGTGCTTGATCAGGAAGTTGCGGATGAAGTCGTCGACCACCTGGGGCCGCTGCTGGACCTTGGCGAAGCTCCCGTCGCCCGCGCCGGACTCGGCCTCCTGGGCCGGCTTCGTCTCCGCGAGGAGCCTGTTGATGTCGTCGAGCGTCTCGTCGTCGTCGTCCAGCAGTTCCGGGTCCTCTGGAAGCTCCTCGTAGGCAAACTCCTCATCGCTCTCGTCGCTGACCTCAATCTGCTCGAGGATCCGCCGACCGCTTCGGTAGCAGCGCGGGAAATGTCTGCCCCTGCCCCAACCTCACCCGTGCACAGACCCTCTCGCGCCATGAGAAACATCATGGTGAACGACCCAACCATTTGCAGTTGTGAGTACCGTCGTTGCGGGTATCGCTTCGGGAGGATCTCCTCATGGGGCCATGAAGCATGCGCAGGGTGTGCCGATGTGGGGCGGGGCCGCCATGTGGGCGCTGCCGTTGCTTGAGGCGGAAGCGCGAAAAAGTGTTAGGGGTGCACCGTCAGGGGGCGGGGCCGCCACTGGGATCTTCGGTGAAGCTCCCTATGGGGCAACGAAACGCTGCATTGGGCGGGGGAAACGCGTGCGAATACAGCCACTGGGGCCTTCGGTGGAACTCCCTACAGGGCCACGAATTGCGTTGCTGGGTGGGGGGAACGGATGCGATCACGGCCACTGGAGCCTTCGGTGGAACTCCGTTTGGGGCCATGAAACGCTGTACTGGGCTGGGCGGGGAGAACGCATGCGAACACTGCCACTGGAGCCTTCGGTAAAACTCCTTATGGGGCAATGAAACGGTGTACAAGGTGGGGTGACGCATGCGGGCGGTACCACTGGGGCCTTCGGTGGAGCTCCCGACGGGGCAACGAAACGCTGTACTGGGCGGGAGTGACGCATGCGAGGCAGTCACTGGGGCTTTCGGTGGAGCTCCCTATAGGGCCACGAAACGCTGTACTGGGTGGGGTGACGCATGCGAGTGCAGTCACTTGGGCCGTCGGTGGAGCTCCCTATGGGGCCACGAAACGCTGTACTGAGTGAGGCTGGCGCATGCGGGCGGTGTCACTAGGGCCTTCGGTGGAGCTCCGTGTGGGGCAACGAAACGCTTTTCTGGGTGGGGGTGACGCATGCGGGCGGTGCCACTGGGGCCTTCCTAGGAGCTCCCTATGGGGCCACGAAACGATGTACTGGGTGGGGGCTGGTGGTGATGATACTGATGGAGGAGGGAGGAGGAGGAGGAGGGAGAGGAGGAAGGAGTGAGGGACGCGGGGCGCTCTCTTCAAAACGAGGACCCACCACCACAAGGTGGTTGGGAAAAACTCGGCGGAAGGTTTCCCGCCATTTTCGACCGCTGGGAGCTCTCACCAGGCCTCGGGACCATCGAAGAAAGACTCTGGCTGAAAAGCCCGCCTCCAGGAAGGGGTTCAGATCTCTGCGGGTCCGCGCCATGACAAAAGCACGGCGTCGGAGGTCCCGCCGTTGACCTTGGGGACGCCTGTAGGGGGGGGTCCCGGTGAGCAGAGGCAGAGGTCCTCGTGCCCTCCCCGCCCGCGAGGGCGGAGAGGCACGGCCACCGCCAAACCACCTGAACCATACCAATATACTTGCGCTCATCACTTCACACGCCTGCCTCTGCAGAGACCTGCTGCCACTCCCCACTTCCTGCCTGCAGGCTTCAGCCTCTCGCACACCGCGGCTGCCTCCACCGTTCAAGCGTCGGGGGCAACCCGACGCCGCACCAGAGCGCCACCCGTCCCTTGGCAAGCGAGTGCCTACCACACAGGTGCAAGTACGTTTAGGCGTCCCAGCACCGTTCTCAGGATACCTCTCCTCCTCCCCCGCCCATCCTTCGCCAAAGAAAGGGCACCTCCAGAGAAAGGGACCCTGGACACCCTTCAGGGCGGTGGCCCAAGCGGGCCATGCGGCCCGAAGGATGGGGGACCAACACACAGGCCCTAGGGCCTCCGTCCGTCTCACCGTTGCCGCTGCAACTTCAGCCTCATCCACCGTTCCTACCTCTTTGTTACGTCTTTGATGTTGACGGATTATGTCCTGCCCTTGCTCCTCTCAACTCCCGTCTGTTACGCCCTGGTGCCATAATTTCTCCCAGCTTTGTCATCCCCCCAGGGCCGACCGGCCCTGGGGGTTAGTGGCCGCGATCGTGGACCCCTCAGGCCGTCAGGAAACAGGAGTAGGAGGAGAAGGACTGAGGAGGCCTGAGAAGGAGGGGAGGAGGAGGAGGAGGAGGAGGAGGAGGAGGAGGAGGAGGAGGAGGAGGAGGAGGAGAGGGTGAATGGAGAGGTCGGCTAACAAAGGCCCCCCGCAAAGCGGTGCACATCGTGTGCCGTCCTCCTTTCCTGGTCTTCCTCCTCATCCTCCTCCTAATCCTCCTCCTCATCATCAGCATCATCATTGTCGTCGTCATCATCAGCAGCAGCTTCAACATCACCACCACCGCCGCCATCATCATCACCATCATCATCAGCAGCAGCAGCATCAGCAGCAGCAGCATCATCATCATCAGCAGCAGCAGCATCATCATCCTCATCAGCATCATCATCAACATCATCAGCAGCAGCATCATCAGCAGCAGCACCAGTATCAGCATTAGCGTCACCAGTTTCATCCTCATCCTCATCGTCCTCATCAGCATCAACGGCATCATAAGCATAGCATCAACATTCTTATCATGTTCAACATCAGCAAGCTCATCATCAGCAGTAGCAACATCAGCAGCAGCATCAGCATCAGCAACGGCATCGTCAGCGTCAGTATCAGCATCAGCATCATCAGCAGCAGCAGCTTCAACATCAGCATCATCACCCTCATCAGCATCAGCATCACCATCAAATTATTCTTCATAAGGATCATAACCAGCAGTAGCAGCAGCAACAGCCTCATCAGGAGCACCAGTATCAGCATTAGCATCATCATAAGCAGCATCAGCATTAGCATCAACATGATGTTATTATTCATAAGCATCATCATCAGCAGAAGCAGCAGTAGCAACAGCATCATCAGCAGCCAGTATCAGCATCATCATCATCATCATCAGCATCAGCAACATCAGCATCAGCATCAACGTGAGCATCATCATCAACAGCATCAGCATCAGCATCAGCATCAGCATTATCATTAGCATCATCATCAGTGGCAGCAGCAGCAGCAAAATAATTGACATCACCCTCATCCGCAGCAGCATCATCATCGTCGTCACCATCATCAGAATCAGTATCATCAGCAGCAGCATCATAGTCATCATCTCCACCTCTATCGTCATCGTCATCGTCATTGTCATCGTCATCGTCATCGTCATCATAGTCATGTATCTTCATCGTCATCGTCATCTTCATCATCCTCCTCCTCCGCATCCTCCTCCTCCTCCTCCTCCTCCTCCTACCCATCGTGCTCCTCCTGATCGTCCTTCTCCTCTATCCCTCCCCCTCCTCCTCATTGCCTCTCTCTCCCCCACCACTTCTTCCTCCTCCTCCTCCTCCTCCTCCTCCTCCCACTTCTCCTCCTCCTCCTCCTCCTCCTCCTCCTCCTCCTCAGCCTCCTCCTCCTCTTCCTCCTCCTCCTCCTCCTCAGCCTCCTCCTCCTCCCCCTCCTCCTCCTCCTCCCCAGGCCCCCCGCGAAGCGGTGTGCATCGTGTGCCCCTTCTCCCCGCCGCCCGCGGCGGCCCCCCCGCCCGCCACGGCCAT